ATATATATTACTCTAAAAAGTGAAATATAACTTTTAATGAAAAAATTAAAGTTTAGGTGTTGATATGTAAATACATAGGAAGTGAGTGGTATGTAAGTAACACCTAAATGTTACTTTTCTTACATTTAAATTTAAACATTTGAAAATTATATTAATTTTATCTTAAGCATATTTCAACTTTTTACAAAAATGCCCCCAACAATTTCCAAGTCATAATTAAATACGCTTGAAGTCGATCATTCGCCTGTTGAACCGCACGTCCAAAAAGCAACGAAGATCCAACCACATCACCATGCATTTCACATGATCGGATATTGTCACAGGTGTCTGGACGTACACACACGGAGTGTAATACCATTATATAAATAATGATTAAATGGTACATAAAGGGTTGTAAACGAGACAGCTGGAGCGAGCCAAGTGTTTGTTCTTGCACGGCCATTCAAAACTTATTTCGTTCAATTAGGTTCCTCTTCTAAATGGCTCGAGAATAGCATATTTGTGTTCATCTCAATTCAAATTTGTCTGTTCGTTTCAACTCGTGTTCTAAATGGCTCATGAATAGCATTAAAATAGTTGTTCGTGTTCCGCTAAGTCGCTCAACAAATGAATCAAACATAAACTACTCAACAAACAGAACACGAGACCGCTAATATTGCATTCAAATTCTTTAAGCGTCTGTTTTGGGCAGCTTATGTGTTTCAGGATAAGCATCTTATCTTGAAACGCGGCACACGGGCCGACAGCAGGGGTCGACTCGTGGTCTGCGTTTAGTGTAAAAACCTAAACGCAGTTTCGGATAAACTGGTGAAACACGCGAACCAAACAGTACGGCGGAAAACGCCGCCCGCACTTATAAGCTGCCCCAAACGGACCCTAAGTCAAAAAATAAAGAAGGATTTTCTTAAGGAAAAAGAAATATGACTAATAAAATAAATAAATAAGCTTATTAATACCATACTTTTTGATTTATAACAGGAATGGCTTTTCAAAGTTCCATGGTGTTATTAAATGGAGAAGCTTAGGAGCCAACATAGCAAAATGAAAGATCTGATGGTTTTGACTAATTTTATCAATAAATGATGAAAATTTATTTCTTTTGACTTCAAAGCAAATGGTGGGATCCACATCCCATTGACTTTTTTTTTTTGAAAAAGATGATCCGAAGTTGCCTAAGAAAATAAAATGAATGACATCCATATCACTTAATTCATATACGAATTTACAAATCCAACATTTAAACTTCAAATTTTGCATATATACCCTTTGCATGAAAGAATATATTTCATTCTTTAAATTATTTATTGATATGAAAGATTTAAGGGTTAAAAAAGAGGGCTTGATTTGTAAATGTCAATGTTTCATGTGCTCTTGAATGCATATGTTACATAAAAAAGAGGGCTTGATTTGTAAATGTCAATGTTTGCATATGTTACTGTTATATACTATGCCTCAGTAATAAATAGAGCTACTGTTGACCATAGCATTAATATTCAAGTTATTGATCCTCCTACCAAAGACATGCATACAAATCCATTTCTTGATTGGTGCTTATCAAAATCACCAACAAAATCAAAACTAACATGTTAAATTAGACGATTTCAAATATCCACATCATTTTGAATAAACCATAGAATTCATTTCACTACATATTTAGCCTTTTAATTGAAATATGGAACTAGATAAGAGCTCATATGTTTAGTCTTTTCATTGATACCAAATCTCTAGATGACATGCGAGTTATTGGAGAGAATGTTGCATCCAAAGTTCAGCGACCACGTGGCAAGTGCGCTCTGATGTATTACACTGGTCAAGCGTAATTTTCAAAAAGAAGTGGGGCCCACTTGCCACGTGGCAATTTTTCACTAAACTTCGGAGTCTGGATGCAAAAATTTTTCTAGTTATTGAGTCTTCATCATGCAAACTACATTTCAGCCTAGATGTTATCAACACATCATCAACATATAAAGACGAAAATAAATAAATGTACTACTATCTTGATGTTTTCAAGCGGACATAGTCATAAGATTTGAATGTCTCCCTTTATTGCCTCATAAATTGAATGTAAATGAAGTAATTTTGTCTCCTCATCCATTGCCATCTTTTATACTTTGCAAGCAGCCAAATATTTCTCCTTGAACTTCTAGTATTAATAGATTCTAGTTATTACTTCGTCTCTAGTGTTATTAACAGTTCTAGTTCCTCCAGCTAAATCAAGATTCTATTTTTCACTATGAATTTCATCTTCTAGATGTTTGATTATAATTCTCTCTTTCATGGTTATTGCTTTTAGTGTATTTCCATCTAATGTTGTGATGTGGGTTGTCTATTGATAATATAAGGATGCAAATTATAAAGTTTTATATTTTCCAAAATGCATTGTTAGATTTAGAAGGGGATAACAAAAGTAATTATTCCTTAATTTTGACAAGTATTTTGAGATGGATGAGCCATATATCTAATCTCTACCATTAGATCTAAGCCTCTTAATTTTCATTTCCTTCTATGTTTCTAATGTTTATGTAAATTTAAAAGAACTATGCTTCATTGTGTATGCTCAGACATTGTTTTAAGAAATCATCAATAGAAGTAACAAATCAATTTTATCTCCTAATGAAGCATTATAATATTAATGAGCACAAAATATTGTGCCCCCTATAAATAATGAGTTAGAATTCAAAACTTGAGTTAAATGTCATAGAAGTCAAATTTCTCGCATTTGGCACTTTTATTAAACCTTTCTACATAATGTAAAAGATCAATCATTATTTGAACTAGTAAAGAACTAGAACTATGTAGGAAATTTAAATTTTGTTTTTGAAGTACCCTTCATGGCCATAAGTGCTCATCCCACCTTCCATGGTTACTCTGTAAATAACATCATATGAGCAGGTTGTCGCCCGCTCGCCCGTCATCACCATCATCAACACCATCAATTGATATCTATCATCAGGTTTTATGATTTCATTCAACTTGAAATCAAATACAAAAACATCTCCCATGATAATTTTACATCTAATCAAAACTCTTCTAAAACATTTCTATTTAATTGTATATTTTCTTCTCTTTCAGCAAACTAAACGGCACCTAAACTACAAAGAATTCAAATGAAAGTTTAAATATTTGACTTCGGTTAAAGGGTAAGATGTGTACCTGAAGAACTTTTATGCTTGCAAGGTAGAACTTTTCCAAAATAATTATCTCCATAGATGTAACAAGTATTTTACTGAAGCATGTAAACATTAAACAAATTAAAAATATAAAATAAAACAGTCTGAATAAAATCACTAAAAAAACTGGAAGTAATAAATTCAATCACCTCCCCATAATAAAAGAAAGAAACAGAAATTATAACATACCAATAATTATAACTTCTAGAAATAGAAAAATACTAATAAATCTAATAATAGAATATACTGACAATAATATCTTTCTAAAAATCCAACACCGACAATTTATTCTCTCTCCAAAATAAGCATTTCTACAATCTGTTTGGCACATTAACTCCTTAGGTTTGAATTTAAAGACATGCAGATCAAACCCTTACCAGCAATGAAGAATCAAACAAAATGGATCAAGATATATGCTCTTAAAATAAAAATTCAGCCTAGAAGCAGATTAAAGATTCCAACAATAAGAATAAATAAACAAAAAAGGTAAATGCACCTGAAATCTTTATGCCAAAAGTCACATAAGGATAATAGATATTATAGTACACATCCATTAACACATTGTTCTTGCAAAGCACAAATAAACAAATGAAATATAACATGACAAAGCAATGAGACAAATTAAATTAAAGAGAGAAATTGTTCTATTTTGCAGGTGCAAAAAAATGCTCACCATAACTTGAAGCCATGAACAATTATCATTTCATACTCATACAGGGAAAATTTACCGCAGTACTACAGCTAATCAAAACTTTAATGGGACAAGTATATAACCAAGATGAAGAAGGAGATGGGCAGGATACAAGAGATCAGAACATAAAATTTGATTCCAGAACTAGTACAAGTACACAAAAAATTTCTCCATTGCACGGAAATATCCAGAGTCATGGTGAACAAACAATATATCTTACCTCTTGCTTCAGATTTTTTTTTGCCCAAAAAGAGTAACAATGAAACCAACAGCGAAATACTTGAAAAAAATAACTTCAATCCCTACTTCCTCCGGATTTTATCTCGTCTAACTTTCACAATTTTTCTAGAAGACTTGTCACCACCACCACTACCCAAAGAAAAGCTCCCACCTGGTGCAAACTCAGAGTTACCGCCCGTCTGAAATGGATTTGGATTTTGAAGGGTTGGGGGATTTTGTTGGCTGTTAAATTGGAAAGGGTTGGTTCCACTAGATGGCACTGCAGAACCAAACACAAAATTTGAATATGGGTTGTTGTTAGGTTGCCCAAAGGTAACAGTGGACGCTGGAGCTTGGTTTGTGTCATCCGCCATGGTGTCCTCAACACTCATCTGGTCATTATTTTGTGATACAGAACTAAACCCTCCAGATGTGCTTCGCATTTCAAAAACAGGTGTGGCTGGAGAAGCTGACATAGTGGCACTAGATGAAGTAAATGAAAAAGCAGGTACTGATGAAGAACCAAAACCAAATGAGGGAACACCGGATGCAGTGGATTTAAGTCCAAATGAAAGTCCTGTTGATGGTGAAGAACCAAACAGAGAACTAGAGATAGAAGATGATGGACCCAAAGAACTGCCGCCAAACAAACCCGAAGTGGCCACTGGTGAAATGTTATTGCCAGTTGGACTGGAAGAACTTGCACTAGCAGAAAAGGAGAAACCAGAATTTATAGTATTAGAGCCAGTTTGAAATGAGAACCCGGTACTTGAATTCGACGCACTGCCAACAGAGGAGAAGAATGCAGAACTTGTATTGGATGCACCAGCACCAGTCGAGAAGGAAAGCCCAGTACTTGATCTGGTCGAAGGGGCAGCGTTAAAAGAGAAATCAGAAGTTGAACCAAAAGGTTTTGCACCTTGGTTTGAAGCTCCAAATAACACCTGCCCAGATCCTGGTGAAGATGAACTATTCAATCCAAATGCTGAAGATGATGAGGTGCCAAAGACTGGGAAGGAAGAGCTGCTCGGCCCTAAAGTGGAAGACGAAGAAAAGGAATCAGGTTGACTAGTTAAACTCTGGGATAAATGTGAATTATTGCTACCAGATTGGGCTGGCTGAGCAGCAAACAGAGATCCCCCTGCTGCACCAAAATTTGCGCTGGAATTCTGAGAGCTGCTATTAGCAGCAGAAACACTTATGCTATCAGTCTGTGAAGAAGAACCCAAACCAAATACACCAATACTTTTAGCTGAAAAAGAAGTTGGTGCAAAACCAGAGCCACTGCTAGATGCGCCGGAGAAAGTATAAGGCATTAATGATGTAGAATATGCAGCCATACTCATGCTTGAGGAAGGCATTGCTTCAACAGAGGTAGTACCTCCTGAGCCAGGAAGGGTGGACCCAACTAAAGAAGTATCACTGCTTCCTGCGCTTAAAAATGATGATGCAACCTGTGTGGTGGGAGTAGTAAATGATCTGAATGGAGATTTGACAGAAAGCTTTCCTTCTGTATCGACAGAATTAGATTTATCTGATAATGAAGAAACTGAAACAGGAGCAGCAGTTGAGGCGGCTCCAAAATTGTAAGTAATGGGAGAGGACAATGCAGGTGAAGCAGATGAAATAGGACTGCTGGAACTTGTGACTACCAAATTGCTGTTTGATGAGAATAAACTCACTGGTGGCCGAGAAATTGTATCTGCTGTAGAAGCTGCTGATAAGGATGACAATGAAGATGAACATACTGAGCCATTGCTCTGGGTTGAAGTGATTGACGCACCAAAAGCAATGGTTTCCGCACTACCTGAAGTTGATAAACCAGAGAAGGGAACTGTTCCAGAAGATTTATGCAGACCAGCTTCATCCTTGCCACGACTGAAAAGGTTTGAACTTTCAAACTGAGTCCTATCAGAAATACAAATAGAAGAATAAGAAACAGATCAACAAATTCCGCAACGAGTTATACAAAAGTAAATTTAGTGTGATGAGGCGTTACACAAATTTTTCTTCAGTTAAATTCACATATTTCTAAAAGCTAGTTGGGCCTTCGCTGGCTATCCTTTAAATACATAGTAAGCTACTAATGCTTAATATAAATATGTCAGTGAATAAAATTAATAGAGAATTACTGGGTTTAATCCTAGTTCATACAGTTAATGAAAACTCAGTGGTATGCAGACCCAAAAAAAACCTATATTTTCGCTCCAAATTATTAATTTTCATTTCAACTAAATAGATACTACAACTGTCATGGAGCATATGTACAGATTTTTTAACTAACAAAGTCACAGGATAAGCTCGCTAAGTAATTTTGAATTTATCAGGCTCCATATCTAAAAGTTAACTAGAAAAGAACAAAAGATCTACTATTAACGGTTTTAGGAACTAGTGCTAACCAAATCCATACTTATCACGTAAGGTTCCAACCTAAGGTCCATTGAAGTGTTACAGTACCCATAGATGGAAATAAATCACATAACCACAACACCAAATTCAACAGACAGAACCAGAAGAACCTTCAAAGCATAAGAGAACACTAAACAGACAGAACATAAAAGCAAGGAAATAAACGATAATATGTTTTCTTGGAAAAATAATGAAAGAAAATTTTTAAGGCAGCTGACCTTTGGTCTGGTTTAGATTCAACAAAACAATCATTAACAACATCTGTAATTGATGAAGAGATGTCTGTACCAGAACTCCTGGAACCAAACATAAATGCAGGAACCATTTGTTCGCTTCGAGGCAGCAGCTTATCGAGTGATTGGGATGGCAAAGAGAGACCACTGGAATTAGTTGCAACCGGAAATCTAAAACTGCTCTCCTCTTTAGAATCACCAGACACATTATTCGTCTTGCCAATTTCAGTGAAGGGTACGGAACTGGAAACAGTTATACTTTTCGATGGAGACGGCGAAGTCTGCCCTGGTATTGACATGCCAGAAATAGATGCTTCAGTTTCTGTAGTTTTAGGCTCTGTTTTAACCATATTAAGGGTTGATTGAACAGAAACATCTGCATCTTGTTCATCATCCACCTCAAGGAAATCCTTTAAACAACGTAAATAGAAAATTAGCCACAAGGTAAATGAAAACTAGATTATCCAAAAGTTTTAAAAGAGAAATGTAACTATTACATAAAGGAAATGAATAAATCAACATAGTTCAAACCTCCGGAGCCGTCATTTGGAAAGCTGGCTTCCTTCGAGAAAGCATGGTAGCGGGAATGACATTGGTGATGTCTGCAGAACGAATACTGGGCTTGGCATCCATCGAAAATTTAACACCTAAAACATCTAAATTTGATGAACTAGTTTCCTGTACTTTGCCAAGCTTTTCTGATTGGGAACCTCTAACATTTTTTGGATCCTTTGCATTTCTAATGTCTGAAGTATCAATCACATCAATGCCTGTAAATTGGGAAGTATCAACATTCTCCATGCTTCTAAGGGCCCGTCCATTAAGCATATCAGTGGTTAGCTTCGAAGGTGATTCATCCATGGCCATAGGCTTTATATTAGACTTCTTTTCTGGAGGTGTAAATTTATCAAGTTGTTCCAATATTTTTCGACTTGTTTCAGTTGAATGCCCTGGAACCGGGGGAACATTTGGAGAAAATATTTTACTATCCCTATTTTCATTAATCTGTAAGCCTGAGCTGACATACTTCAGTTCATTTGGTGAACAAGGCTGCCGAGATGAATAAGGCTCCTTCAACTCCTCTTTATCAAGTTGGAGTAAAGGAAAGCTACGGGAACTACTTGAAGGCGTGAGTCGTGCATTAGCTGCAGAAACCAGAGCAGATTTCTGACGAACCCTACGAATAGGGCCAAAAGATCCATATTCGCTATCTAGAATTGAGCTAACTCGTTTCAAGACCTGCTCAGACACATAAAACAGAAATCCAAAGAATGGTCGTAAACATATGTAGCAAATCAAGTCACAAGAATCAAATTAAGATAGATAACTATATCATGAAGTCGGAGAACTAGCACTATTCAAAACAAGAAGACATTAGGCACATAAACACATGAACCACAAATATGACATTGGACACATATTTCACTGAAAATGGCAGTCTAATTATGTGTCCTTTGCAGAACACTTTTGCATTGAAAAATCAAAAAATGATAATGGGAAATGACACATATATTAAAGAGCAAAGAGGAATTACCCCAAAAAAGCCCTTTTAATAGATGTGATTTGCTTCATGATTATAGCTAGTCAAACAAGGAAGAAGAGCAGATTCCACAGCAATTAAAAGTACAGAGCACAAAGATTCCACCGGTCAAACAGATTTCAAAATAGGATTATTAACAACCAAGTCTCAAACCAATTTAAGCCCAACTCAATATGAGCGTGAAATTATTCAAGCCGAGTCAAGCTTGGTTTTAGGATGGCTTGATTCAATCTCAGCTCATGCCAAGAACAGCTTGTGAACTTATATTTGTGATCGATTTGAGCAACAAAAAAAAAAGAAAAAAACAGGATCTGAATTATATCATGAGAGAATCTTTTAGTCTAACACACATGCAACGGTACATAAACAGATTCTAGTACATAACTGCTTATGCATATGAATTGACATTGAAAAATATTCATGCGTATTTACATTCAAACATGCATGATTTGAAACAAGCCCAGCCTGGCTCTCTAGTGGGATCACTGACTTTCAATATGAGCTAAATTCCAACCAAAAACCTGTTATTAACCTGATTTAGCAAGAAGGGCTGCAGGTGAGTTGATTGTCTTCAGCCACTCATTGTGTACATGCAGGCACATGAGTTTGGTAAGTGAAACTCAGACAGAAAGTTGAAGGGGAGAATTTAAAGCTTTTTTACAAGAACGATAAGCACAATAATAATAATATTAGTAGAAAAAAGATATGTTGCCAGAAAAATAAACTTTACTGAAAATACTAAATATACTGCAAAGAAGGTAAAATAATTCAGGAAAATTTACATACATACCACTTAATTCTTATTTATTTAAATATCTAACACTAAAATTTATTCTTTACATATATGTCACCTTGCTTATGCATGAAAAGGTTTATTTCACTTTCTGAAGTTAAAATAGTGGCTTATTATGTGATAAGAAAGACTTAGCTGGTATAAATGTAAAGAAGTTTAGGTGTTAGATATGTAAATACATTAGAATTGGGTGGTATTTATGTAAATTCCCCAAAAATAAAATACCTATAGCAGATGCAATGGGATAATCACCGACTCACATCTGTACAGTGGCACAAATATGACTATGTATGAACAGTTTCGAGTGCAATTAGCTTCCCCTCTAAAGCTAGAGCGTAAAAGGCAATTAAAAGGGCTCAAGTGAAGTCAAATGGTAAAACATTTTACCCGCTGCCCGAATACCATTATAAAACTATGCTACAATGAATTTCAATCAAGAAAAACAGAAGAGGTGAAGAAAGGCAAACACCACCTGTCTGCCATCAGATTTTGAAGTGCTCCCAGGGGTTGCAACAGAAGAAGTAGAAGCATTCCCGACAGTTGTATACTTGCCCACCTGGTATAACAAGATACCGAAACATAGAAGTTAACATAAAAAAGTCATGAAAGAAAAATGAATGAAACTATAAAAGAAAAGAAAGCCAGTATCTGAGAGTATGAAAACATACCACCGCATTTACTGCTGGATCGATCTTGAAATAGGGAGATCGGGACATTCTATATATATCAGATCTTCCACGAGGTTTTGGAGTGGGATAACCAGCACCAGAAAATTCATGGGGTTCAGAAAAGGGCAAAACAGACCGAGGCATGAGTGGCAGGCCATGTGGTTTTGTTGCAGAAGGCCCAGAAAAAGGCAAACTTCTGTGTTCCCGAAAGCCTTGGCTCTGCAAACCTGTTGTTGAAGTGGATGCTTTTGGGAGTCTAGAACTCATGTATGCTTTAGCGATTTCTGCAGGAGAAGCAGCCACATCCTGAGGAATCTGTAATTCGCCAACAAAAAACACTACACAAATTAAAAAATGACGCACGAGAACATTGGTTTGTATCTAAATGCATATTCTATCTAAAAGGTTGCCTAAAATCTTAACCTAGGAAAATAAGCAAATTTTCTACAAGACAAGTAAGAGATGTAGAGTTGCAAATTCCAATAAAGAAATATTAGCAAAAAATGCCTAAAACAAAAGATGGGAAAACAAATGATTTTTGACAATCCTCCTTAGTGCCTTTCAACTAAACTTCATATAAAGAACAATAGCAAAATATTTAAATGATTAAAATCATAAATGTTCATGATCATTTACATTTGCATCTCATGGCATAAATTACAAACCCAACCAAGCATAACTCATTATGCAACAAAATATGAAATTCTTTCATAAAAAAGAAAAAAAAAACCATCAACCCGCTAGTTAAAATTGATAACCAGCAAAAATAAATAAGATGGATATCTACCCTTCTTAATACGCACTTGAATGCACAAATCTACGCTGGAAAAAAAAAACCTACAATTTATTAAAACAAGAAAAAAATCCATCTGGACACATAATCATAAGTGCATGTGAAATCTGAAAGCATCACCCATATATATATATATAAATGCAAATTAAAAAGAAAGAAACATGAAATAATGTGCACATTCACGCATTAATAAGCTCAATTAGGGATATTGATAAATAAGGCATGTTGTTTAGGGATAATGGTTAGGTGCATTTATATACATAGCACAAAATTTTTATGTATTTGCATATCTCGCACCTAAACTTTCATATTGACACATGTAGCACTCAAGACTTTAATATCACAACAAAAATTAAACTATTAAAACATTTTTTAAAAGTGAAATACACATTTTCATGCATAGGTTTAAAACACCAAAGTGCTATATATATAAATATGAAAGTTTGGGTGTGAGATATGTAAATAAATAAGAATTCTGTGTTAAATATGTAAATTTCCATAATGTTTATCCTAATTATGCCAAGAAATAGATGATGCCCATTAAACCATGGAGCAGCGAGTCCATTGTGCCTTAAAGTTTTAGACAAAAGATAAAGCAATCCCCTAGTCACCGCAATGCCATAATCACACAAAACTTACATTTAAAGGACTTTCTGATGCTGATAAATTTCTATTTAAGCTGGAGTTCCAGACACCAAATCCTTTGTCAGAAACAGAAATTTTCTCGTTATAATTTTCTGACTCTTGTCCAGTTGGCTCAATAGCTCTTGAACATATTAATCCTGTTAGATAATCAACCTGATCCCTGTTGAAAAAGCAGCTTTCAGATGATGATTTAAGATATGCAAAGCTAGCCGCAGCGATCAATTTTGAATAAAAATTCAAACGAAAAAATTGAAAAAAAAAAAAAATGCTGCCTGCCAGCTATATTAAGTATTATGTCACATAATATCTAAGGAAGCTCGCAGAACACTTAGCAGCACATACTTTGTATATTTGTTTTGCCTCAGCAGTTTCTCAATCTCAGAAATTCCCTGAGTCTCAAAATTCATTGGGTTGTGACCATCAACTGCTTCTTGAACCTGGGATTCACTCTGAGGCTGCATTAGGAAAGTTCCTTGGCAATAAGAATACTAAATAGAATGAATTTTTCGATCAAAAATTATATTAGGTTGTAAAATTAAAAATTCAAAACAGCATTTTAAAAAAATGGTTCTCTTTAAAGGGACTAACTATAAGAATGCAGTAGGATTAGCAATAGCATGGTTCGAGATGCAAATGAAACTGCCGCACAGGTAAATATAGATGTACAAGTAAATATAGATGTACAAATAAGGCGATTAAAAAAATGGAGATCTAAAAAGAAAACTAGCGTTCATACATAATTATTCATTTTTCAAACTACTAGCCTTTTTTTCTACCCAAAAAAGAAAAAAGAATTGATAAAATAGCAAAAAAAAAGGAAAAAAAATCCAGACAAAAGCAATAACCCAGGAATCATAGCAAATTAACGTTATTAAATGGCAAAATGTTATTGAATGGTAAAAGTTCTTGAATGTCAAATTTAATCATGAATCATAGTCATTCATTTAGCCAGGACATGTCATATCATGGTAAAAATTTAGTTTAACTCAAATAATGATTCAATTTCACTTTATGTTCATGATTCATTTTCCAATTAGAACCAGCCCTAAGCCATCTGCTTTCAGCCCAGTTCAGCAAAATTAAGTTGTAATACCCCAAAGATCAATTGACAAAATGGCATAAAACATAGCAAAATAACAAAAAAAAGGGGGAGCATTTACATACATAGCACACAATTCTAATGTATTTACATGTCTCATACCTAAACTTCAATATCCAAACACATAGCACTCAAATCTTTAATATCACGTCAACAATAGTAATATTAAAACTTTTAAAAATGGAAGACACCTTTTCATGCATATATTTAAAGCACCAAAGGACCAGGCATGTGAGCATGAAAGTTTAGGTGTGAGATATGTAAATAAATAAGAATTATGATCAAGGTATGTAAATTTCCCAAATAAAAGAGCCTGGAATAAAGATGATCCGGTACAGCAAAGGATACACCTTATGCAAAAGCTATGCTGGGGCTATGGCATATTATGGGGACATCCATACATAACAAAAACCGAAATCATTCTTATGTAAGCAAGAATTTGACATATCCCAATAATTAAAATAACAATATCATTCTTATGTAAGCATGAATTTCAGCCAAATTAAAAGTCAAAACAAATTACAGCTTACAAAGTAATCCTATGGTACATCACCATGTAAAATAATTATATTTTTTTCTAATATTATGTCAAGACTTAAAAATCATCCAAACCATCTAAAAGAGTTTTAAGTACTAAACATGAGTTTATGAAAAACACTGCTAGTTTAAGCAGATTGCAAATTAATATATGTAGCATAATCATTTTACCATGCAAACTAAAATGAATACTATAATAAAAAAGTAAGAAATGAAGTTTTAGGGGGCGTTTGGTAGTGTACTTTTATTAGGATTTATTACTCGATTTAACATAAATCCAACCATACATGAAAAAACGAGAAGCTAAAACCAATGTTGTGTTAAATCAATTTTCTTCTCCAATCCACCAATTTTTGGACGTAAATCCGGATTTATTAAATTCGAATATTTAGTGGATTTAACGGAATTAAATTAACAGACATAGCTCAACTGGAATAAAATGTCAAACATGTTTGTTGGATTTAATTGAATTTAGCCTCATCCGAACCAAACATTATTCTAGATTTGAATTAATTCAATAAAACAACTAATTGAATCAAAATACTAAAGCTCTAACAAAAATTTGGATGACCCAGAGCATATAATATAGGCTAAAACTTCAAATCTAGAATGCTCTGATGTCACTGTTATTTCTTCACAGCATGGTAATCACAAGATGTTAGCAGTAACAAGGCTTCAAATAAAACCGCCCCGTAGATTGGTAAAAATAAACTAGGCTTAATTTTTTATTCAAATCAATAGAGACTAGAAGGGTACTTGGCTCAAAATTTATTTTGAGTAGGTTACATGTATATAACGACTCTATCAAGATTTAATCCAGTTCACCTCAACATTATTGCATTTAATAAATATTTGATATAACAACAAATAAAAAATAGAAAATAATAGTTGGTACATTTGATCGATGCTTTCAGCTTTATACGGGGGCTCTTAGAATCAAATCCTCCCTCAAATCATGTGTTTTTACAATTTTAAGTCAAATCAAACTTAAATCATTTCGAGTTTAGCTTGCTTGGATCAAAATTAAGTCAACTTCAAGGTCAAGCTCCAGTAGAGCAGAGCTCAATAATTTTGAGTTCAAGTCAAGTAAAACTCACATAAACATAACAAGCCTTAGTCAATCACTTATTTTTAAGATCTATGTAAAAAAATGCAATCACTTTACTATTCATGGGCCTTAGAAAGTGGGGACAGATTAAATGTTTTAAGAAATAAATATTAATTATTTTGACAAGAGTTCAAAGCAAATACCAAGTTGCTTAAAACCCCACAAGTATGTACGCCCCACATCATGGCCTATCAAAAACTACATTCATATAACATCCATTCTAGTAAACACTTAGTAGAAAATATTGTGGCATGAAAATGCATCACTCTTCGATGGTTTTTTTTTTTTATATAATGTTTTTAATCATTTTAATTCTACACACATAATGTAGTCGCCATTTACTCATTGCCCATTATTTTGTGTTCAACAATCTTGTTTCAAAAAATGTCAGTGATTCTCATTAAAATTTAAGCACTCAGTTGACCATATTCATTTTCATTTCATACGAAATTTTTAAAATAGTGAAAACATTATATGGAAATTGCTTGATAAAACATATTAGCAATATAAAGCATGAACCAAAATAGAAATAACTAAACATTCCATAATAGTCACATTAGACATTATATTTCTGTATTATATAAAAAATAAGAGCTAAAATTCAGCATTCTAGAGCAAAATAACTATTTATTAAATAATAAGCGCCGGATGAAGCATCCCTTCTAGGCAAGCTTTTAATATGCATAAAAGAAACTCAAACTACATATGGAATGAAATCAAGGGATAGAGAAATACATAGAGTGGAGCATAATCAAATATAAAAGTGAACATTTTCATTAACAGTCAAAACAGGAGCAAAGCAATGAGCGAAGCAAATAAGTTTGGTTGAATTGGAGCAACAAGCAATGAGCAACGAGTGAAGCAAATGAGTTAGTTGAATTAAAAACAGAAAAAAAAAACCAGATTGTTATCTAAAGCAAAGAGTGTTTTCTGCTCGTTCTAACCCAACTGGTGTTGAAATTAGGATTAGGGGCAACAGGATATGCTCTCCTATGCCATTTAAAAGAACGGTGTGTGGGCTCTAAACCCAAACATTTAAACGCACACAAACTTTGAGCGCCCGATCATGAGGTGAATAAAGTAGTCTCTACTAAACTGTTTTCAGATGTTATAAGTAAATTTGTTTTCATATGTCATGGATACTGAAACAAATAGAATAGCTTGTTTGTGCTGAACCAGAGCCTTTCAACTCTTGTATTCTCGTCATTTTGAACTAATTCAAGGATTTTGTTTGATAGGGATTAGATTTGCATTCCAACGCTTATTTAGAAGTGTTAAATAGATTTAGTTGGGGTTGGCAACAAAAAAGCGATACCCTTTTAGGGTTAAATCCAGATTCCACCAGGTGTCAGGAATTGTTGACTTAGTTTCTAAACTTTTTTTTAACAAACAGCTTAAATAATAATAATCAACATAGAACGCAACCTTCATTCACAGGTGCATCATTTAGTTCTAATAATCACAACGTGACATGCTATATAAGAACAGAGACAAACATAAGCTCGAGAAATACTCCACAAAACGCATTAAACAAGTCAATGAGATGACCAAAAAAAAGGTACAAGACACTTGTGAAGTAAAAGACTTTAATCAAAATGATAAATATTAAAATGCTACTAAATTCCAAGGGAAGAAATATCAATTTTCATTCTAGGCCACAAGTTCAAGAAAAAAAGCTTCAAAAAAAGGTATAATGGTGGAAATCCAAGCTTTTTGGCCTAAAGCACTACAATATAATTTTTTTCTCGAGTGGAATGCAAGAAAGAAATTATTCAAAATGAACTAACCATGTAAATTCAAACAAGTAAATCAAAAAAGGTTGAATTAATTAACAGAAGTTGCATTAAGAAGATAGAAGAGTGCATGTCAACTACTTACAACATCAACTGGCTGAGGCACAAATGGTCTAACTTGGCAGTTTTGCTCTGGGCCTACAATGCATAAATAAATATAAGAATAAAAAATTGCATGATTGTCAGCCAAAAAATTAAAAAAGAAGTACTGAAGTGATTCAAACTTTCTAGTAATGTTAAATGCAAGATCTAACTTCACAGATACAACAAAAGCAGCCCCACAATAAAAAAAAGGAAAATCTACATACATACCACTCAATTCATGAGTATTTGCATAACACACCTAAATTTTAATTTTTCATACATGCCACCCTATGCATGAAAATGTGTATTTCATTTTTTGTTAAAGTTAAAATAGAAAATAGAGTTAAAATAGTAGTATTTTTATGTGATATGAAAGATTTTGGTGGTATAAATGTAAAAAGTAAAGTTTAGGTGTTAGATATGTAAATATGTAGGAATTGGGTGGTATGTATGTAAATGTCACTAAACAAAAATCCATCATCATGACCATTGGTTTTACAAGAAAATTCATTTGGAACTAGCACATATTGATATGTACTAGTTGGCTTGGCTCAATTCTATGGAAGTAGGTCAGACCAGAAACCAAACTGAAATTTGCACTGAAACTGATTCAAGCCAAAACACAGATTCAAATCATGCCATCGACACACAGTGGATGCTAAAGTTCATTATTTGCAAGAAGCTTCAATGCATCATAGTAAACTAATATATCTATTACATACATATAGATACATACACAAAAATTTGTGTATCCTCATGCCTGAATGGAATACTCTATAAAAACTCAACAACAATAGGAGCAAACATTCAAAAAGCAAAAAGGTTCAACACTAATCCTGCAATGTTGCCTGGCAAAGAAAAACAAAATTAGAGCTTAAAGTTTAATGGTGATCATTAACAAAAAGTGCTACTCTGTTATCTCTTTAAAAATTATTCCTGAATTATTTCATCTACTTATTTTACCAAAAATCTATCTTTAAATAACCATAAAATCATAAAATCATTAAGTTTTATTCGACTTGAACTAGACTTAAAATTAGCTTGATTTCAAAACAAGCCAATTAAAAAATCCCAAAAAAAAAAGACATGAGTCACAAAAGAGTTTAACTTCAAGAGAATTAACTTCAAATTAAAAAAAAAGAAAAAAAAATCATGAGTTGGAGGGCCAAATTAAACCTATAATCCCTTGCATGAGACAACACTAATCAATGCTCAAGTATTACTTTCCACATGAATTATATCAAAAATAAATAAATATATAACAATTTTGAGCAAATTCAAATTGAATCTTGAGTAAACTATCATAGCAAGATATTGACTCAGAGTTGAGTACCCTATTTTGAAACTCAAGTTGAACTTGCTTGATTCAACTAAAAAATAAATCAAGTTTCGAGTGAATTTCAAAGTTTTATATATTTTTATCATCTTTAATTGTACTTAAGTCGTACAACGCGTCGCTTCCAGAAGACGCCTAGCATTTACACAATAAAACTAATATTAAAATAATATTTTAGTATATAGGTACTCTCACAGATAAATTAATGGCATCATTTGATATTATGGTTCATATTATAGAATAGAGAGGATGCATAAGAGTGTGCAAAGCATATAAAAGTTAAGTTAATGTGTTATACATTAAAATTATGGGAAAGTGTAATTAAACATAGGTTAAGACAAGATATAAAAATTTCTCATAATCAGTTCGGATTTATGTAGGGCAAGTCTACTAAGAAAGTTACATATTTATTGAGAAAAATGATGGGGAAGTACAGAAACAATAAGGAGGATCTACATATGATTTTTAATGATTTAGAAAAAATTAACAATAAAGTTGCAAGAAAAGTTCTTTGGAGATTTCTAGAAGAAAAAGGTGTTGATATGACTTATAGTCAAGTCAATAAAGATATATGTACTAAAATTATTACTTAGTGTTCAAATATGAGGAGGATTTACCAAGAATTTTCCTATTTCAATTGGATTACATTTGGGATTGGCTTTAAGCCCATATCTTTTTTGCTTGATGCTCGTATTGGACATTTATAGGAGGATGTATCTTGGTGTATGCTTTTCGTTAATGATATCCATCTCGTGGAAAAGGCAAAAAAAGAGTTAAAAAAAAAACTAGAATTATAGAGGTCTACTTTAGAGTCTAAAGGCCTTCATTTGAGAAGATCTAAAATTGAATAGATGTAATGTAATTTTAGTAGTAGTAGATCTAGTGACAGAGTTGTAATAATGGGTGATCAAATCATTAAAAGGAGTGAAAGTTTTAGATATCTCGGGTTTATTGATTAAATTGATAGTGAAATATATGGGGATGTTATTAGCAGAATTCAAGTTGGATGACTGAAGTGGAGGAATGCATCGGACCTATTGTGTGACAGAAAAGTGTTGCTTAGACTTAAAAGAAAATTGTATAAAATGGTGGTGAGATGTGCAATGCTTTATAGCGCAGAATGTTGGCCTACAAAAGAAAAGCATAAAACTAAGTTAAGTGTTGTTGGGATGAGAATGCTTAGGTGGATGAGTGGCTTTACACTTAGAGACAAAATGCGAATCGAATATATCCATGAAGGATTGTTGTAGCTCCAACCGCAGACAAAATTAGAGAGAGTCATCTTAGATGTTTGATCACATTAAATGTTAACCATCTGATGACCCAGTTAGGAGAGCAAATATTTTAGAATTGACTTCTGTTAAGAAAGGTAGAATTGGGCATGTTGTTGTTGTAGTTGCTGTTGCAATTTTAATATTCTCAATTTTAGCATGCTAAATTTGAATATCAATGAGTTAATTATCACCTAACAATCAAACCATATAGCATAACAATTCTAATTTCAGATTCATAAATTTAACTTAGGCTCTTCATATAGAAACAAACACAAAAAATAAAAAAAAATAAAGGAATAGATCATTTTTTTGGTGGACAAAGCATCGAACATAGAATGAGCAAAATATCAAAACAAAACAGCCTTGTACAAAATAAGTAAATATGCAAAGAACTAATATTAAAATACAAAACACTCAAGAAACTATAAATTGTACTTAAGATGATATAAATACTGTGTACAAAAATTGGTTGTTTTTTAGCCGTATATTTTTATCATTAAAAAAATCGGTTGTTTGAGGTAGTTTAAATAAATCACTCCCTATAAGCTTTGTGAGTGAATTATGTGCATGTATTAAATGAATAAAATGTGTACGTATGATATAAATTAATTGCACACAGTAAAAGAATAAAACTATTTGTAAATGATTTAGCATGAAGTATTAATCTTTTAAATTATATGCATAATTTATTGGATATTATTTAAGTTGTTTATTGAAGCTTAAAAACTAATAAGAATGTTTAAATTTACATATCTAGTTAACTATTTGATATTATCATCATAAACGTATTAATAATATAACCAACTTCTAAAATGCATAATATATTAAAAATTTGATAAAATAACAATAAAACAAGTCATCAAATGAGTAATTAAGTTATTATTAAATACACAATTCATCAAATTTGTGGTGGGCTAACAGTTAGACAACAAAAGAGAATTTCAAGAACACAAATAATAAAATGAGTTATTGCTCAAACTTGCTCGTTTATATGATATGCATTGAAAATTTTATTCAAATTTATTCACTTGTATAAATAAATGAATAAAAACAAGCATTATACAAAGGAAAAAGCGTTAATCATTGTTAACATTTGTTCCTAAATTTATGCTTAAAACCTAGTTATTCTTTGAATCCACCATAATTCAAAACATTATTTTACATTTCCTAAGAAATTTTGGGCTCTAAAAGGATCTTCAAAGTAATTGACTCGGAAACTTCATTCCCAATAAGTCGATTCATATGAATAAAATATGAATCCAGCCATCATATTGAATGTATAATATAAGTGTGAGGGTGAGCCTTCCAACCAAGACAAGCCTTCATAGTTCATTATCTCCCAAAATCAGAAGTGAACGCATGTTTAATGAGGCCCCTCAACTTTCTATTTTAAATTCTAGAGTAAAAGTGCGATGCTTGGCTGGTTATAGAGCCATGTAAGAAAATTTCGTAAAACTGCAAATTTGTTCACTTAGTTGGTGGGGAACACCAAGAAATATATTCCGCAATTTTAATAAAAAAAAAGTCACCAAATCAATTACAACAGTGAGTCTCAACCTTGCGGAAACATTGAAATCCTCCAACATCAAGAAGGAAGATATCATACAGATTCATCGATGGATGCAACAGCTACACAAATCATCAAGACTCCTTGAGATGCCAACCTTAAAGATAGCGTTTTATTGACCAATGCCGATAAGAAAACTTTCATTAACACATATATCAACTAAAATATCTAGAGATTCCCAAAATCAAAGCATTCTACTTACTCCAACCTCATTAGGATTCAACCTATTACACTATTTACGGTTGTCCAAGACAAGCACAGTTGAAGTCAACGTAGCAAACATGTTGAAAAGCCATTAAACCCTCTCGAAAGAAAGATCGAGTAACACTCCTCATATATACCAATAAAAAAACCTAAGGAATTGGCAAAAATAGCGCAGAATAAAACTAAGTAGGGTTTCTCAATCCAACCTTCAGCTTCAGGCAAGCCCTTGGGCCCCTTACGGAATACAGATGAAAATATCCTAGAGGCGCTCCCAGTAATGAACCGCGACGCAGGATCAACGAGCTTCGAGAGCCACCCGCTCCTGCTCTCAACAGCTGTTCCTAATCCACGTAGCCCGCGCGCAGCCGACGGCGGCCGATCATATGGCGAGGGGCGCCGCACAGGCCGGCGCCCGAAACT